GGTGGGCTTTTGTTCCACTGTTCCCGTGACCACTTTCTTCTTTCCCTTTAGCCCCACTTGTTCTATCTGCCAAGATTCCTTCTCTTATCCTACCTAAAGATGACCCTCCTCAGTTATTCCTTCAGTCCCCAGTTGGTTTCCTTCATACATACATAAAATGTTGAAGTATTTGGGGGCACCAGGGTGGCTCAGTCGGCTAAGTGCCCAACTCTCAGTTTTGGCTCAGGTTATGATCTCAGGGACGTGAGATCAAGCCCCGCACTGGGCTCCACGCTCAGCAGGAGGTCCACTTGAAGATTCTCTCTCCCTCTCCCTCTGCCACACACCCTGTTATCTCCCTCTCTCTAAAATAGTCTTTTTAAAAAAGATTTTATTTGACAGACAGAGATCACAAGTAGGCAGAGAGGCAGGCAGAGAGAGAGAGGAGGAAGCAGAGAGCCTGTTGTGGGACTTGATCCCAGCACCCCGGGACCATGACCCGAGCTGAAGGTAGAGGCATTAACCCACTGAACCACCCAGGCACCCTAAAATAATCTTTTTAAAAGGTTGAAATATTTTATTCTATTTTCTTTCTCTCTCCCCTACTGGAATCTAAGCTCTCCGAGGGCAAATACTTTGTCTGGTATACTTCTGTATTCTTGGCACCCAGATCAGTGTGTGGTATAAGCACATGGCATAAGAACTTGACAATTCTGGGCACCGGGGTGGTTCAGTTGTTAAGTGTCTGCCTTGGGATCAGGTCATGATCCCAGGGTCCTGAGATCCAGCCCCACATGGGGCTCCCTGCTCAGTGGGAAGCCTGCTTCTCCCTCTCGCACTCCCCCTGCTCGTGTTCCCCTCTCTCTGTGTCAAATAAGTAAAATCTTAGAAAAAAAAGTTAAAAAAATACTTGACAATTCTACAGTAAAAGGGTCAAACCCCAGAGATTCGAAGACAAATATATATGACATGTTTTCATACTTTCATGTAGGCTTCTACAACGTTCAAAAGACACTCAGGAGTTAGGTAAATATATTTTCCCTGCCATGGTTTCACTGGGTGGTGGACAGCTGAGACTATTGGTAAGGAGGGGTTGAGAAAGTAACTTATTAACCTACTCTGGAAGCCCTTTCTTTGGAGGCAGTGGAAATTCACAAAAAAGCCTATCCTTTTCCCTCCTGAACCCCTGAATTAAATCCCTTCCAGCACTCTTTGACTCCCCTCCTCGCATACACGGAGCAAAGTGGTTTGTGTATCAGTGAACTCTTCTAGCACTGTCTGGTGGGACTGAATCCAGCTTATAAATCCTGTGCTGGGTGAATCCCATCACAACCAGTGTCAGGAAATGTGGAAGGAATGGGGGGATGTTATCTATCTTGGGATGCAGGTGTGTCCTTTGTAAATTGCAGTCAAACAGTTAATGGGGCCTGCTGAGGCCTTTGATGACCGGGGTGGGCTGGAGATAATGTGACCCATTGTTTCATCATAAGCAGTCCTCCATGATACATCACCATGGAGAGTAGTTGTTTTTTTTTTTTTCAAGACAGACTCCTTTGGTGTTACTGAAAGATGGGCTCGGCATATTTTCCATAAACACTAAGGAAAGTAAGTTGCTATATACTTTGTTCTAGGAGTTGAAGCACGTAGCAAAATAGTTAAACACAAGTACTTTGGAGCAAGCAAGGCTAAGACTGAATCTTGGTTCTGGTATCTGTTAACTGGGATCTAGAGCAAGTAACCAAAGTTCGATCACTTTACAGAGTTGTTTAGATTATTAAATGAGGCGACAGTGGTTAGCACATAATGGGTAGTTAATTGATAGCTAAACACAAATGAAAAACCTAATTGAACACAGATTGGTAATTATCGGGAATAGGCAACTTAAGACAGGTTATAACCCTGTAAAAGGATTGGTTATGCCTTTGTAAAGGTTTTGCTATAGAGATGATAAGGTTTGGTTAAAATTAATTTACTTGATCATTTAGACTTTTCCTCTGGAACTCTGCTCTCATAGATGACTGTTTTTTCTTTCTTCTTTTTTTTAAATTTTATTTACTTACTTGACAGAGATCACAAGCAGGGAGGCAGGCAGAGAGAGAGGGGGGAAGCAGGCTCCCCCCTGAGCAGAGAGCCTGCTGTGGGCCTTGATCCCAGGACGCTGGGATCATGACCTGAGCTGAAGGCAGAGGCTTAACCCTCTGAGCCACCCAGGTGCCCCAAGTGACTGTTTTCTATGTCTGGAATTAAGCAAGTAGAATAACGGTGCTAGACTATACAAGAACATTCCTCTGCTTGCTCTTCAAAACTAAGATTTTCTCTTTTTTTAAATTAATTAACTATTTTTGGGAGAGAGGGAGAGTGCTAGCACGAGTGGGGGTGGGGGGGAGGAGCACAGGGAGAACAGACTCTTCATTGAACAGGGAACCGGATGTGGGACTCCACCCGAGGACCCTCGGATCACAACCTGAGCCGAAGGCAGATGCTTAACACCCAGGTACCCAACACTTAAGATTAAATACTCCAAATGAGGGGTGCCTGGGTGGCTCAGTTGGTTAAGCGACTGCCTTTGGCTCAGGTCATGATCCTGGAGTCCCTGGATCAAGTACCACATCGGGCGCCCTGCTCGTCAGGGAGTCTGCTTCTCCCTCTGACCTCTTTTCTCTCATGCTCTCTCTCTCTCAAATAAATAAATGAAATCTTTAAAAAAAAATAAATACTCCACATGACATTAAAACAAGACAGCAACAACAAAGCAGACTCTGCTATTGGGTAACACTTTTCTGTGATGTCTATAAATGCCTCTGTAGGTTTCTTTTCATTTGGCTGCCTTTTTTTTTTTTTTATTTTAAGATTTAGAGAGAGAGAGAACACACAGTCGGGGGAGCGTGGAGTCCAATGTGGGGCTGGATCCCACTACCCTGAGATCATGACCGGAGCCGAAATCAAGACTTGGACCCCAAACTATCCAAGCCTTTCACTGGGCTGCCTTGTAACGAACATTGTGTTGCTGTTTGAGCAGCACTGTGCATGGTCCTGACCACATTCTCTCTTTTTTTTTTTTAAGATTTTATTTATTTGACACAGAGAGAGAGAGAGAGATCACAAGTAGACAGAGAGGCAGGCAGAGAGAGGGGGAAAGAGGCTCCCTACTGAGCAGAGAGCCTGAGGTGCGGCTTGATCCCAGGACCCTGAGATCGTGACCTGAGCCAAAGGCAGAGGCTTAACCCATTGAGCCACCCAGGTGCTCCTGACCACATTGTCTTATATCCTCTTGAGACAAAAATTTCTCAGCAAAAAGGAAAAAAAAAGCAAGTTTTCTTTGGTGCCATCTTTAATTTATGCCTCTATATAGGCAGCAAGCTGAACCCCACTTTACCTTGCAAGATGGCCCAGTCCACTCAGTTCGACACTCCATCTGATAGATGTCCCTGATGCAGTATGGGTAATCAGTTGGAGAACCAGTAAATTTCACGTTTTGGGCAAAATTGGTTGGCAAATCTTGGTGGCTCCAGGCATAAGAGTATGCTGTGGCTACCTGTTTTGGGACCTCATCTCTAACTGGCGTGTAGTCAAGAGGAAGGGAACGGATCTAGTCGGGGGCAGCATCTCAGAGATGGACTGGAAGGATGGGCAAGATTTAAAGTTTTATCTACAGAAATGTTGCCTATTCCAGATGAGAATATTGTCCGTTTCATTCTATAGCACAAAGAATTTTCATTTCCAGTTTTCCAATTATCTTTTTAATACTTCAATTCTTGAAGTGTGTCATGATCTCCATGAGGACTTACGTATTTTCTACTTCACGTTTTGAAGGCCTTTGGTTATCCTAAGTAGGTAGCGCAGGTTTCTAAGGATATCGGATCACGAAATTACAGGGACTTCCTTTCACCTAACAATATACAAGAGCTCAGGTCTTCGACATGCTATTTAGTTTATACCCAAACCCGTTCAAACCTGCCCTCCCAAACCTGATTTCTGGCTTTCCCTTTTATCCAGTAAATCCTCATCAGAATGAATACAGAATCCCCTTGACGCTTTTCAGTATTAAGGATATCTGACCCCTTCCCAGCATTTGGCACTGCCAGCTTTTCCTTCGTTTCAGCTCTTCTCCCACCAGCTTTCTCTGACCATATTCTTGGTTCTCCTCTCCTTCTGATCATTCCTACCCAGGTTCTTTCCCTCCTTCCCTTGAAAGCGTTTCCTTAGGGCTCCTACTGGTTCTCTTTTCCTTACACACAATGGAGAATCGCCTAGGGACTCTTAGAACTGCAAAATACTTTAGTTGAGCTAATAGATGCTAGCTAACTCTGCCTAGGTTAAACCCACCCAGCAGGGACACAAAAATGGGAGCTTTGTTAGGGAAATTGTCCAGCTACCCAACCGGGGGAACCAGGGACCACAACGGGAAGAACCCTGTAAGGAGCCTCAGCGGAAACTTCCTCATTTTTTGTTGTGTACCTCTGATGAGGAGCACGGGCCTCAAAAGGAGAAGCAACCTGAGCTTGTCTTCTGAGTCATCCTCCTTATTTATCTCACTCCATTTTAGACCCGAGGCTCCCAGGCGGGCCGGACTTCTCCTATCCTGTTCACTGAACTACCCCCAGCACCAGCTCCGGGCCGGGCACAGGGCAGGTTTGGGGGCTTGGCTGTTGGCTTGTTGGGACCGAGGGAGACCGAGGGACGACAGCTCAAGGGCCATAGTGCGGTCCACTTGAGCAGGACAGCAGGACACGCGGCCACCGCTGGCCCTGCCGAGGGATGCAGCACTCGGTCCCACCTCAAGGAGCAGACTCATCCCATCACGTTAACTCAAAGACCCATCTAGACTCCACCGCAGTGAAAACAACCTCAAAGGTCCCCTCCACCACCCTCCCTCCCAGGCCTCGGGGCTGGGTCGGCCCGGGCCGCGCAGCCGCAGTGTGGAGGGCCGAACCCGGCCCTGCGCGTCACAGAAGCCCCGCCCCTTACGCGAAGCGGCGGGAGCGCGCGAGCCTCTGTCACGCAGGCGCGTTCGCGCGGCGTAGGTGGTGCTAGAGGCCGCCGGGGGTTTGTGAGGAGACAGCGCTGCCGCCATTTTGTGGGGTGTTTGTCGCAGCGGCTGGAGAGAGACGACGGCGGTTTGGAGACGTTTCTCGGCCAGAAGGCCTTTTGCTTTTCCGGAGGTGAGGTCTTGGGTGGGTTGGGTGGGCCGTTTCCGTTCTTTTAAGTCTCGAAGCCAGGTGTCGGAGAAACGACCCAGTTCGGGGCCTTGGCGATCGGGGTTTCTTCGGAGCACAGCCCCGCTGGTGGCGTTTGAAACCTAGAGCTACTCAGGTGCCCTGGTAGGTTTAAAGTCTTGGAGCGGCGGGGCCGCGGTTCCGTCGCTGACTCGTGTCTGATGTCCCCGGCCGCTCGCACCGCGGCTCCAGGAGCCCTGGCTCGTGCCGCCGGCAAGAGCCAGGACCTGACCGGAAGACCCTTTGAGAGCCGCCCTTGAGGGCTTGTGCAAGTCGGAGATCGAGTTCTCCTCAGAGTGCCCGGTCTCTGCCCGTTGGTAGCGTTCCTGGGGTTTTCCAGAGTCAGAGCCTCTAGCCCCAGCTGCGAGTGCGCCAGAGGCCCTGGCCAGGTGCCTGGGGCGGGGTGGGGACCGACTGCGCGTCCGGGGAACTGCAAGTCTGCGAGTCCAGGTGGTGGAGCTGAGCTTGTGCGCGTGAGAGGTCAGCTGTGGAGGGGTTGATGCCTCGTGCAGCGCTGTTGTTGCCCCCCACCCCCGCCGAAACGGAGCATAGCGTTGCTGCGCCGATCTGCATTTCCGAAACTTGGGCCTCAGGTTGTCCTTGATTACCTTGAGCGCCCCCCCACACCCCCGCCCCTACCCCTACCCTCCAGCCTGGTCTTGCTTTATAGCCGTCCTGGTGTGACACTGCTCCGGGCACACACTCCTCCCGGCGTCTCGTTAGTGGTTAAGTGCAGTCCTTCCGGAGCCATCTAATCGGAACTTTCCCCCATTTCTATTTTTTTTAAGCCCTGTACATGGGGGCTTAAAAGGTTAAAGCCTCTGCTTTCGGCTCAGGTCCTGAGCCCAGGGTCCTGGGGATCGAGTCCCGCTTCGGGGGGGGGGGGGGGGG